ATCACGCGGAAAGCTGAGGCGGGCCAAAGCAAACAAAGGAAAGTATCTTCAGAGCTTTAGATTAGGCTGAGCAGACTATCCTGCCTCTGCCACTTTTGTCTAACATGCCTTCCAAGTATTGGCACCTAAACCATAGTTCAAAGACAACGCGAAGTCCAACTTGATGATTACATGGCTGAATTTAGCACATGAGTACCGGTGTTATACTAGGAGTGGTGGGCTCTCTTTTAAAGAAGGGGGGAGTGCGACTTGAAGAATTCCTAGGGTGGACTCCCGCAAGATGCTCGGATGCAAGAGATATTGCCTGCCTCCTATACTTTTACACTCCCAAGGACGCTGGGATTTGCAACTGATGGCACCGAAGTGGCACTACATCAGCCAGTATGCCAAACCCCGGTCTGGTGCGTGACCGCAGCGTGAACGGCCTGGTGATATACTGTCGGCACTGTTAATTCCTCCTCCACAAGACATTCTTCCCCCGCAAGTCCAAAAGATGCTTAATGTTCCTACAGCATGACACCCAAGCAATTGGCATGTATCCTGTTGGGTGAGATCCTCTTTCCAGTCACTGAGCACCGTTTAAAAATTGTCCTGGCATGTTCCCTCTCTCCTCTTGGATCAGATATCTGGAGCACATTGGCCTGCTTATCATGCGTCCGGTCATTTCCAAAGTCAGGCCGGTCCATGAGCCCCATCTGACCAGTCTCGTCCGCGCTTCCCATGACAATTGACCAACTGCGGTCAATAAGTTGAGAAAGTGAAAACTGACGAGTATGTAAGCAGCCTTCGCTGTGTGCTTCCTGAGCCTTGTCTTGCTACCAAAGGTCCGCAAATTTAGTTCCATCTTGCCATCTTCTTCTAAAAGCTTTTGACCCATCACAATCTCATTCTTTGCTTGCACATCAACAGCTTATCCAGCCAGCACCCATCTAGTACCATTTTCCAGCCCCCAGCAATGTTTTATCACAATATGAACTCCCTCTCAATGATTATGCTGTGTTTGTTCTCTACAGCAGCAACCATTGCGGTACCAAATGGATACAGAGACATATACGGTCCCAACCCGGCCTTCCTGCCTTCCCCGCGGTATTATCCCGGTTTGGAACAGTTACACTCCCAGTTCGATGCCCCGGGGCCTTACTCGTTCTACAGCGCCGGCGGCTACTATCCTTACAACCTCCAATTCCAAGGCCCTTACCCCGGAAGCACATTCTCTCCATATGGAGGCCCTAACCTCGCTGTAGGTATAGGGCGCTCAGTCGACCCTATTGCTAAACAATTTTCTAATGTAGGTCTTGTTGCCCTCTACTTTCCCGTGTCTTGACGACCAGTTTTTCCTTCCTCAGACCGCCCCCACACAGGTTCTAGGACGTGCTACTCTTGGCAAGCTCGCCAGAACCACCGTCCCATCCTACCAAGCGGCCCCAAATACCCCCCAAGAATCTCTTGTCGCACCTGAGGCCCCGGTGGACATCAACCATTCTCAAGAGATTGATTCCTCCCCGGTTGCTTTATGATCGTCCCCATTTATTCAAGTCCCATTCTTAACCTCTACATTCATCATTTGGGTTTTTTTCCCTTTGTTTATAGGATTGCAGATGTAGATATTACAGTATATTTCCAATTGAACACAGCACAAAAGATAATTGAATAATTGGTCTGATCTTCTGTAGGATTCCTTAATTTTCAATTCTAGAAAATCTCTTTCTACAAAATAAAATAGAAGAGCAGAAAATGAATGGATTATTAGCCTCCTTTAATTCACATAAAAATGAGTCTGTATCAAGTCCTGCTATTTTGAGGTGAAAAATTATCCATTTTAGGATAACAAATGGAATAAAATACATGTTTTATATATTTTCCCAGAAATTTTGTGCTTTATAGACTTATTATGAGGGTTTTAATTGAGCCAAATACAATCAGAGATCTCATTGAAAGTTCCAGGTAGTTAGCTTTCAGCATTTTTAATTTAATTCAGAGAGAAAGCATCCTCTCATTTAAATCACTGGGTGTTTCAAAAAAAATAGAATGAGCTTCCAAAGCAGTGATGAAAAACAGATAATCAATTTATTGATCAAGAATATATTAACAATCTCATTGTGTGAGTTTTGTTGGTCAATATCATGAATATTTCCCTTGATTTTTGCATCAGATGATGTTCCTGTAATTTTCCTAGCCAATCAACTTGAATCTATGCAGGATATGCTAAAAGCAAGGATTATTGTCCTCCATAAAATTAAGTGGTTTTTCTGGCTGTATCTCTTTGATTTATGTTTTGTTCTTCAAATAATAATGATGCTTGCATTAGCCTAGTTATCTTGTTTCATTCCACAATATAAAGTACAGACCATTTCAGAATTCAGGCTACATAAAAGTGTTCAAGAAGGTTCTTCTGAGAATAACTTGTGGTTTTAATTTTCCAAAATCTGACCTATTGGCACAATCTCACCATATCACATGGTCAATTATTGAGCCAGAGGATCTTATTCCAATCCCTGTGGCTCCTTGGAGTCAAATTTGGGACAACTACAGGGTTGAAAATTTTGGACTGAGTGTTGGTCAACGGAAGGTATGTGGGATTTTGATTTTCCTTACAATTCTCTGTAGGATATTTTAGAGTACATGAGAGCAAGTGACCAGTCCATTATTTCAAAGTTCAGGTCCCTTGCTTAATTCTAGATTCCTAATGGGCACTTCTTATAACCATTAAAGCTGTTCATCCAATCAAAAATCATGACTGTGGGATATATACCTCGTGCTCCCATGGAGACCAAGCTTGATGGTAGAGCACATTTCATGTAGGCAGGGGTTGAAGCTTGGAGTCCTGTAGTCCAAATATTTTTGAAATCACAAATTACATGCCAGGTTCTGTATACTAATATTGAGCCCAAATTGTAAATATTTCAATTCCCTGGATGTATGATAAACCCACCAATGATTTATGACTTCACAGAATTGGAAAATATAAGACCAAAAACAGAATAAATCAGTTGAATTGATGATGATGTTTGAGACAAAAAAGTGATGTTATGAGTGTGAAGCAGATGATATATTATGGCCACCATGTCATGTTCAGCTGATTGAAACCTTCAAACTCCCAGCTGAGTGATCATTACGTCAGGTTTATTTCCATAAAAAGTTAGCTCCTTCACGGCCCGGTTAGCTCAGTCGGTAGAGCATTCGGCTTTTACACGCTACTTCCCAGATTGGGCGGAGTTCACCGAAATGTCGGGGGTTCGAGCCCCCCATTGGGCGTGCCTTTTTCCCCGCCTGACAGTGTTCACGATTGCCGACCAGTCCAGGAGGGAATGATCGACTGATTTTAGGGGAATGGCCGATAGAACAGACATCAAAAAAAATCAGTGGATAATAAAATGACAGTTTTCAGAGTTGTTATATGATGTTTACTTTTCTGCTTCTCCATAAACCAAACCAAACCAAAACAAAAAGAATCAACACAAAAGAGAGATAGAGAGAGAATCAGATGTCTATCTATCTCACAGCGGGGATGAACAAAATCGTTTTACAGAATCAAACATGAGCTTTGCTTTAGACATCTGGAGATGTATGCGTGAACAACAAAAACAACGCCGCGTGTGCTTATACCATCAGTTTTAGTGTAAGGGAGAAAGACGAAGATGTCATGGCGAGGACGTTTGGCATAGATGCGCATCACAGGAAAGCAAGCAAACCTGCTCAGGCAAACGGATCAGCACTATCGATCATTGCCTCCTCCTCCACTGCGATGTTTTGGAACGCGCTGAAATGGTTGGGACGGTGACTCGGATCCCAGAAGGGAATCGGTTGTCCAGCTAAGGTCATCGTATATTCCATCGTGGTTTGGAATCTGGGTCCAAGGCCCACCGAGTACTAAAAAAAAAAAACAGAGCGGTTTAGTTCGCGAATACTCATTAGGCGCAAGAAGGTTTATTACTACTTCGAGTTTAACAATTACTTACGTTCCAGATTCCATCTTGTGGGACGAACGTCGAACCCAAGATCCTATCACTCAGCAACAGCTGAACACGCTCGGACATGCTAGCAGGGTTATAGCCGTTTGGCGCATTAGGATCAGCGTTGCGGCCCCACTCGAACCCTTTAGGAGTGAGTACGTAAGCTGATAGAGAAAGAGACCCGGGCGTGAAGGCGACGGTCAACATGATACTGGTACCGTCCAATTGAGAGTGCTGGGACATCAGTTTGGAGAACAGGATGGCATCGTTTGGTGAGAGCGTCTGGGACTCTTGGGCCTGTGTATGGATCACTCCGACAATCTTCATATCGTCCAAGAGTGGATGCTTCGGCAACGCACTGGGTAATTCTATCGACCGTTGACTGGCTCGCTGGGGGATCACCGCTACAGCGCGAACCTCAATCACTCGATTGTTGTCTGGCGCGGCTTGACCAAAGAGAATGGCTGCAATGGGTGTCCTAAGATCAGCTGCACACACGAAAGATTTCATGATGTTCTTAGCCAGGACAAATGTCGGCAAAGAGTCCGATACATCGTCGTTTTGCACATAACAATGCTGCAATCGGAGTGGAAGGTTGGTTGAACTGATGGCTCGGATTCGCCAGTCCGTCTTAGACGAGAAGGTTTGAGTTTCATATTGAGTGGTCGTGACAACTTGAATCAAATCACCGTGAACATTTGTGGTCTGAGTTTGAGTTGCCGTCACTTGGTTTGCCTGTTCAGCAGTTTTTTCGATCTCGGCCATCTGCTGCCTTTGAATCGAGGGAGCTTGAATCTCCATACCCAAAATGATATCACTAGATAGATGGAGGCAGGAAAAGTCAGTCTCAACTTCATGGGAGAGATTCATCGATGCGAAGGGGG